TGAGTATGCAATGATGCATAAAAAGAAGGATCATTTGCCATAGACCCTTAAAATTATTGATATGATTATGTTAATTACAGTACGTAATTTAAAAGCAGTTTAGATATTTAACAACTTACTACATGCGACATACGCAAAATGCGCATAATCATTAGGTGTTAATGATTGAAAAAAATTCAATAATCCAATATTATATTTTGCAGCTACAGCATCCTGATACTTGCATGGTGCTCCAGAAGACCCGATTAAACAAGTATATGTATTAATTTCAATATTAACAGTATAAAAAATGCCAGCTTTTTTTTGACTTGGAACCAAAAATTCCATATCAGTTTCAGCTTGTTGAATTTTTGCCGCATCAATTGCATCCCAGTTGGGACATAAAAAGCGTTTAGCGATTCTAGTATGGCCGGGATGAGTATGTGCTACTCCAAGTAATCTACGTTCATAAAAGCGTTCCATACTTGTGGTAATAAATTGGAATACTTGGACGCTATTATATACTTGAGTACGTGCAAATATGATGTCTTTCAACAACCCAAAACTGCGCTTTACATAATTGTTGGTGTTATTACCACGTAAAAGAAGCCTCGAACGAAATGATACAGCCCAGAATTGTCGTCGGTTCCAAAGCAACTCAAAATGCTTTTGCAGTTGCGGGTATGTAGAAAAATAGTTTGCTTTTAATTCTCTATAAAATTCTTCTATTTCAGTTTCTATCTATGCATAGAGTATCTTTTTCATATTGTTCATTATAGATGGTCTATGATCTTTATTTATATTGTGCTTTATATTATGTAGCCAACGCCAGAACGCTTGAAGAACGTGAAATATGCATAGTAATCTTTTTAACTGCGGCTAGAAATTTCTTATTGCATTTTGTTCAGCACGTGAATCATCTGTAAGAATGACCATTGGACCCATATTAGGACCACAACCAAAGAAGGCATACTGTGGGAGAAGTACTTTTAAAAGGTTTATTCCTTTTTCAAAAGTCATTTCTGATTCATCTGACATTATAATAACACCTAGAGGTAATGCACCTACAATGCAACTGGTGTACAACAAAACTATTGACATATTTAATGGACCAAAGGATGCTGAAGCATCCATAAAGCAGAGTTCCCCAGCTTGACTAATTTTTTCATGAACACGATTCATCAAGTTTGTGACTACGCAAAGAATAAAGACATTACCTAGTTGTGAATCATACTCTTGAAATAAAGCACAGCCTTGCCCAGACTTATTATAATTGTCAACCACTTCTTTAAGCTTATAAAACATTGGCACTCCATTTCGTTCTCCAAGATTTTTGTCACGGTACTGGTTGAATAAATATAGAACATATCCATAATCGGGATTTTGTGCACGATCCGCTAATAACTCTATAAGTTTCTGATCATCACCTGCACTCAAGTAAAGATCATCTTCATAAATATATAAAGCCGTTGCTGGTAAATGCCCACTAGTGAAAAGCTCAAGATACTTATTACGAACTTCCTCTTTGACGTGCCAGAAGCTAAGAGACTTCGCAAAATGAATAATATGATTATGTACAAAGTTAATATTAACTTCTAGTGGGTGAGTAGTTTGAAGGCACCAACATTCAAGTCGAAGATGGATCGTAGCTGCACATTCAGTATTTCTTATACGTAATGAATGAGGCTTTTTTACTATAGGATTTCCCTGTTTTTGTTTTACTTTGTTACTGTGGATACAATGGTGTAATTCTCGAAAAATGACTTTTCTTCCCTGAATTTGAAAACCTTTCGTCTCAAGCATTGTTGTTTTTGATGTCTCTTCATATTCAGTAAACCATTTTTGCGAGTCTTCAATATTGCTAACATTTACAAAAAAGGTTATTTTAAATTGATTTATCAAAAATCCTTCCGGTGTAATATAATCGGAAAGTTGTTGAATCCCAGAAACAATGTAATCATAATTTGGAGGAAGAACAGCTGCTATATTTTCAGGTAACTATTCCGATCTATTTTCAGATAAATGTTCTCAGGTAACTGTTCTATTGTATTTTCAGGTAACTGTTCTGTTAGCTCAGAGAAATTGTCTAACATTTGCATTTCAAGTGATGCCTCCATTATATTTAAGATAAAAAACGTGGAAAATTTAACCAAGTATCATGAAAAAAAAAAAAAGAAAACACAATAAAGTTCCACAACCACAAAATATAAAGAAAGACTTTTTTATTATGATAATCAATAAAAAAGTTAGATAAAAGTAACTTTGAAAAGAAGAAAGAATCGAATTTATTGTTCAATTTAATCTTGCATTTATATTAATAGCGGTGTTTAAAATCTTTGCAGTATTACGTCATGCAATCAAAAAAGTCATCAATATTCATTACAAAAAACGTCATTAATAGTCATTAAAAAAAAAAAGCTTGTCAGAGACAATTTTGATTTATTGACTCTCTGTATCTGTAGTAATTCATATGCATGTTTCTCGTTAATGCATCAATTAGTAACATATCGATTGATATTTGAAACGGGTGTACATACCTTTTTTAGATGCATCAGGTTGCAATGCGGTTGCCGATCAAGTTTTCCAACTGTTTTTTTATGCATATTATGTATATGCAAAAAAAATTTATTTTATTTTTTTAATTGATAATTAAATATAGTAAACAACATTTAAAAAATCCTACTTATTTTCGAAATATGTCATTTATTTGTTAATTTCGAAACCCATTTTTTAATTTTATCTGTATTTGTTACTTGGAATAGCAACGCAAATATAGTTTGACTTGCTTTTAAGACTTTTCAAAATAATTTCTAGCTATAAGGATGTACGTCTAAGTAAGTCTAGCGATAACTATTAGAAAAGTCAATGTTTAAAAAAATATATGCTACATATATTTGATTTACTTAGTCAATGTATCATGTACGTACGTACATATGTACTAACTTATATACTCACACTAATTTTACTTTCTACATTTTTTTTTTTTATTACTTTAAGTGCTTATAAAATTGATAAGTTATACATACATGCACCGGTACGATGGGTACTGGCTCCGACTGCAGATTTGTGTACCCGAAAATAATCATGTGATAGATGATCGACAAAACCTGGCACAGATTTTTTGAGTGCGCTTGGCACATAGTTGACAGCTATGTTTATTGGTTGGATCTAGAACTAAATCTGTAATCTCAGTCATACTATCTAGTAATGGGAGCAATGGTGCAATAAATCTGAGAAACTGGCATAACTGAAAACCTATTTGGGAAGTTCTGAGTTAGAAAGTAGCAGTGATCTTTGATAGTATTACAAGAGGGCTGAATTTGAACCAGGGCCTAAAATTGAAAAACCAAATGACCAGGTTCTAATAGTGGAGAACACACTAGCTGAATCGCTAGGTTTTGTTATACCAGAAGAAAAGAACATATGCTTTGAAAAAATGTACCAAGAAGAGAACATCTTCAGACATTTAAAGCTTGGGCAGACTAACCTTTCCAGGCTGCCGGCTGGAAGTAAGAAAGAGACCAATAAAGAATTTGGATAAAAAGATGGTCCAAATGTAGGTACTAGAGTTGTTGTAAATCCAATAGGCAGCTAATTAGTAAGATTGTGGCTTGAGATATAGATTAGGTTATGAAAGTCTGAGAACTATAACATCACGGAAGAAGGGACCCAGTATATACTAGATTGCTATAACTCGGTAATAGCAGTATGATTGGTACTAGTTAGTTGCAGGGATTTAATAGTTAGCCCTGACCCAAGTGCATGGGTCAAGCTATAGTATAAAGTTACTAAAGTCTGGGTAAATACCTGGGTGGGATATGTACTCTAGCAATGGGGCAGCTAAAGCCTAAAGTTATATGATATCTTTAAATGTGCCGTGCTATATATGGGATATTGTAGCCAACAATTAGTGAGATAATTGGGTTGGGTATCCCACAGAAAAAGCTGGTCTATTGTCTGATATAAACCATAGGTGGTTCAGTTGTAGAATGACTTTGAGTCTAACAAGCTTACCAATCTTCAGTATGGGTTACCAATATAAATATATATATATATATATATATATATATATATATATATATTATATATATTACAGTTATGAAAATAAACTCTTTCCGATAATCACTAAAACCAAAATTCCCACTAACAGAAAAATATAATTTGTGCT